ATCGCCAGAGCCTGGGCCAGAGCCTGGGCCAGCGCGGTGCTCGCCGGCCACGCTGGTCCGCTCGGGCCGCGAAGGCGAGCACCAGGAGCTCGGCGGCGCCCGCGTCGGCCCGCGCGTCCTGCGCGCAGCGCGCGGTTGCCGGCCACGGCGGGTGTCGACGGCGCCCGAGAGCAGCAGGCCGCTCCTCCACCACGCCGCCGCCGAGAAGAGGGGCGGAGGAGGGGCGGGTGCGGCGCGGGGGGCGCCAGTGGCGCTGGCTGGCCGGGAGCCGACGCTCGTGCCAGCTTGCCCTGAGGGAGGAGGAGGGAGGAGGGAGAGGGGAGGGAGGAGGCAGGCCATAGAGGGGAAGGAGGAGGGAGGAGGGGGTATGAGTAATTAGGAGAAGGAGGGAGAGGAGAAAGAGGAGGAGGAGGAGGAGGATGAGGGGAGAGGAGAGGAGGAGAGGGATGAGGCGAGGAGGTTTGGAGGAGGAGGAGGAGGAGGAGGCGGAGGAGGAGGAGGACGAGCAGGAGGAGGAGCGGGAGTGGAGGAGGGAGAGGAGGAGGATGGAGGAGGAGGAGGAGGAGAAGAAGGAGGATGAGGAGGAGGAGGAGGAGGATGGGGAGGAGGAGGGAGGACGAGGGTGGAGGACGAGGGAGGAGGGAGGAGGGAGGACGAGGAGGCCGCCTTGGCCGCCCCCAGGCGGCGCCGCCCCGCCCCAGAGATGCCAGGGGCCCCGCGGCCCGCAGCGAGGCCACCGCCCAGCGCGGGGGCACCGCCCGGCGCGGGGCGCCCGGCTGCGAGGCCGCGCGGCTGCGAGGGCGGGCGCTTGATCAGCACTCGTCCAGAGAGGCGAGAAGCCAGGAGAGAAGCCCCAGAGACACCTCCGACTCTGCTCGACTCTTGTGCCTGCCATCTGGGCGAACCTCCCCCTCCTCCTCCTCCTCCTCCTCCTTCCTCCTCCCTCCTCCTCCTCCTGGGCCTCCTCCTCCTGGTGCCTCCCCTCCTCCTCCTCTCCTTCTCCTCCTCCATCATCCTCCTCCTCCTCCTGGGCCTCCCTCCTCCTCCTGGTCCTCCTCCTGGGCCTCCTCTCCTCCTCCTCCTCCCCCTCCTCCTCTTCTCCCCCTCCTCCTCCTCCTCCTCCTCCTCCTCCTCCTCCTCCTCATCCAGAGTCCACAGTAGGCTTTGCATCGCTCGGACGTGTGCGTTGTTTCTCGGCAGGGCCATCGAGGAGAACCTTGGACCCTCGCGCGAAGAACGAGCGCGCGAAGCCGATCAACGCACGGGGAAGGGACGTCGGAGCGATGGCGATATGGAAAGGGGGTGGTCTGATCTTAGCTGTCCCGCCCGGAGGGTTCCGGGGGTCTGGGCCAAAGGCCGCTTTATCATGGCTACTCTGGTCACCACCCACCAAACCACCCAAACCCAACCCGAAGGCCTCAATTTGCCCTCCATTTCCAGTGTGGGGGGGGGTCCGGGAACATCGAAAAAACACATATGGAGCCCATACCCCCCCCTACGGTCGGACCGAGGTAGAAGATCGGGGTCAGTTCGGGGAGGGTGCCCGAATGCTCTTCGCGCTGGTTGACTGTTCTTGCGCATCCTGGGGGAGGGTACCCTCGAATGTTCTCCAGGTTGGCCGGCGGAGGGTCTCATGTCCCTGAAGGGTGTGCCTCTGTCCCGGGTCCCGCCGTACCCTCTCTGCGCGCCGCCAACCTCCGAACGTCTGTGATTCTGCCGTGTCCTGGCTCCTCTGCAGGGGGTCCTGTCCGGAGGAATGGCGAGGCCCGGGCATTTTTGTCCGTCCTGGCAGAACACAGAACACGGGCGCATGGTTTCAGTTGTCCCCTTGACCTGCGCCTTCTCAGCTTCCGCAGAGTAGTTGCCGCCGCGGCGCGGCCGCGGAGACCGCCAAGACCGCCGCTGCGGCCGCCGCTGGCGGCCGCCGCTGCGCGGCGTCTGCCGTCCGGCGGGTGCGGACGGTGGAGGTCGAGGGATGCTCGGGCTCGGGGCCCTCGCTGGGCCTCGGGGCCATTGCTGGGCCCCCGTGTGTGTGTGTGTGTGTGTGTGTGTGAAGTCCGCTCACTTCCCAATTCTATCCCTTCTTCCGCACCTGTATTGGCTCAGGTATTGGCTAAACGACAACCGGGCTGTGCAGTGCCCTGGAAAAGGAGGGAGTCCAGCGGAGTCACGCCATACGAGGGCGCATCTTAAATCTCGTCATTCTTGGGTTGCTGCGAACTGCGAAACTGTCGCCACGTCCAGCGGAGTGACGTCATACGCGGATTCATATTCGTCCTCACCGTCCTTGGGGTTGCGAACCGCGAAACTCGTGCCACTTTCGAGAGTTGCTGGGTGTTCCAGCCATGCGCGGTTTCAGATTAGACCTCGCCATCCACGGATGGCTACGGACTGAGAAACTGTCGCCACTGTCGAGGGCTGCCGAGGGTCCAGCCGACTGGCGCCATACGCGGGTTCGGTCCAGACCTCGCCATCCTTCTTGCGCTATGAACTGCGAACTGTCGCCACTTTCCCGGGTTGTTGGGAGTCCATGAGCGTGACGTCATATACGCGGATTCAGAATCGACCCCGCTTTCCTTGGAGGGCTACGCATTGCGAAACTCGTGCCACGTTCGAGGGCTGATGGGGGGTGCAGCGGAAGGACGTCATGTGCGGATTCAGAGTCGACCTCGTTATCCTTGCTGGGCTGCGAATTCTGCAGCCGCCGCCATGTTCGAGAGTTGCTGGGAGGGCGCAGCGGGGTGACGTCACACGATGGTTCAGATCAGACCTCGCCATCTCTTTAAAGGGACCGCGAGCTGCGAAACCCTTGCCACATTCGATGGTTGCTGGGGAATTCAGCGGGAGTGACGTGATGCGCGGATTCATATTCGACCTCGCCACCCCTGGGGGGCTGCGAACTGCGAGAAGGTCGCCTCGTTCGGGGTTTGCTGAGGGGGGTCCAGACCTGTCTTGGGGGCGTCTGGGGCCGTCTTGGGGCCCTCGTGGATCTTTGTGGGAACGTCTTGGAGGACTTTGTGTTGTGTTGGGGCGATCTTGGGGGCCTCTGGGGCCGTCGTAGAGTGTCGGGAAGCAGAAGAGGGGATGACGCCCAAACCCTGCAAAACCGAAGGGGATCGATGAATTATTCTGCCTCTGGGGGCCTTCTTTGGGGTGCTTCTGCAGGCGTCTGGGAGCGTTTTGCCTGCCTCCTGTGCCTTCAGGCGGCCGGGAAGGCGTCTTCACCAGATCGTTCGGCGATGCGCAGCCTTCCCGGACCTTCCTGGGGGCATCTTCGGGCAGCCTTGGCCCGTCCTGGCGCTTTTTGTGGGACCTGGGGCCCCCGGGAGGGAGGCGTGGAGATCTCGCCGGGGCCACCCCCGGGACACCCCCCCCCGGGGGAGTCGTATCTCCCCGGCTCGCGACCCCCCCCCCGGGCCCGTCCCGGGGACCCTCCCCGGGACCCCCCTCGGGATCCCCCCCCCCGACGGGGGAGGGATCAAAAGGGAGGGGGCTTCCCTTCGCTTGAACTACGGCAGGGCAGGGATCAAAAGGAGGGTGCTTGCCTTCGATTGAATTACGGCGTTACTCAGCGTTTTTCAATTACGGTTTGGTTGGCGCTTGGGGAGGAGGGGCCAGAAAAAGGAGGGAGCGGCGACGGGCCCAGGGAAATTGGGGCCGCAGGGAAAGGAGCTGGCAGAGACGACGACTAACGAATGACGGAGAGGACGGTTCGAACGGATACGCTTCACACACATACACACGGACAAGATTTTGTATTTTCCGCGGGCACGCATTTTTCTTCTTCATCACCGTCATCAGCGCAATCTATATCATCATCGCCATCGTCACCATTGCCATCGTCATCGTCAGCATCGTCAGCATCATCGATTTCATCATCACCGCCGCCGTCATCATCGTCATCGTCGATGTCGTCGCCCTCTTCAAATACGTGCGCGGGCTTTCTCATCATTCTCACCGTCATTATCATCATTAGCAGCTGCAACACCATCTCCATCGTCGTCGTCGCCATCGTCTGCACAGTCGTCATGGACACCAGCATCGTCATCTTCATCGTCATGGTTGTTGTCGCCACTAAATTGAGTTTTGCCAAGAAGTTTCGGCTGAGCGGGTGGGCTGCTTGTACGAGCACTGAAGGCGGTCACGCGCGGATGCTGTCAACAACATCGATTGCAAAATTGCAATCTATCGCTCGCACCACGTACGGTGGAGGTATTCGGTAAGGAACAGTCCCAGGAGGCGCCAGACTCTGGAGGATTCCTTATCCAATGAGGGCGGCGGTGACTTTCATGGCCGATCCACGTTTGGAGTTCCACTGCCTTCCAGACCCTGGATTCCTTATCCGATGGTTCCTTATCCAATGCCCTCACCGTACCATGAACCAGGTAGTGTGGATCACATAGATTGCACCACGCAGCTTGCACCACGCATTTTGCAACACATAGTTTGGACCACATGGCATGCGCAACCAGCTTGCACCACTCAGGGTGACACACCTGGAGTGCGAGAGAGCTCAGCGTTTGGGGTCCACGCTGTCAATCGTTTAACGCGTGGACATGCCTTCGTACCAATTTTCTGCAGCAGTCGCCCGCATCGGAGGTCAGCGCTCCATGGAATAGAAGGGTTGTTTGTGTTCTGGGGGGGGGGGGCGATGGAGCACGATCGCTCCAGCGCTAGGGATCCCGCACGAGCTCGAAGCTGGCCTGCCAGGCTTCTGTGAACGTGTCCTTGAGCTGGGTGGGGTCAGCTAATCGATTGACCATCCATGAGGCCAGGGGGGCAGAGCAATATGCATTTAACAAGTAGACAAACAAACAGAGAGTGAGAGAAAGTGAGAGAGTTAGAGAGTGAATGGCTGGCCGCTTATGGAAGCCTGTGGCCCACAGTTGTGGATCGCTGCGAGGGGGGCTTCTTCGCTGAGTGGGCCTCGGCAGAGTCCTGACTGCATGATTCGCTACTCTTCCACCACTCCTCTCCTCGCTCATCCGCAGCAGATTTATGTGGCTGGAGAGGTTTACCCTTCTCAGTGGGGCTCGCCCCACTCGGCTCTCATAGATCCGTTCCTCGACCCTATCCATGGCCGCTACGTACCGCTTCAGCAAGACCCCCGCTATGTGGAGCACGGGCACGGCTGGCAGTGATTATTCTGATTGCCTCATAGACTTTGAGAATGCCCCGACCACCTTCACGGCGGCTTTGGCAAGCCTCCCGACAGACGACGCGTTGCCGACGATCGTCTGCACGGACGGCTTGGCCGGGAAGGTGGATGTTCCGTCACCTCCTGTCCTTTCTGACGCCAGAAAGGTCCAACGTCAGTTCGCCGACGTCCAGAAGCCGTCTGACGCCAGCATCCTGGCTCTTGCGGCCCTTACCGATGGCCTCCTGACCATGGTGGACACCGACATTGTCCCTCACGAGCTGCAGGCCTTCGAGGGCGAGCAGGACTTTGCGACGGACTTCCTGGAGGCGCCTTCGGGGATTGTCGTTCGGCTTCCCCTCCCGATTCCACTCCCCGTTCCAGTCCTTCCGCTCCCTTGCTCTTCATTCATGGGCCAATTTTCCACCGCCGCTACCATAGGAAGGCCAGGGGAGAAGGGAGGATGGGGAGGTCCTCCACCTCCTCCTCCTCCTCCTCCTCCTCCTCCTCCTCCTCCTCCTCCTCCTCCTCCTCCCTCTCCTACACATGGTAATGGTGGTGGACAATGGGCCCACCATTCCTCGGCGAGCAGGGGCGCAGGGTTTGGATTGGACTCGGATTCGGCGCTGGGTTCGAAAACTAGAACCGACTGGTGAGCGACAGAAGCGCTACAGGAAACAAACATCTAGGCCCCGACAGTCCAGGGCGGATCTTCAGGTGACCACCTCCCGCCCCCCAATCATTAACCACCCACCTTGTCCGCCTCCGTCTGTTCGTGACGGTCTGGGCCGAAAGGCTAAGAAAGCAACTGAAGGAGAAGAAGGAAGGCCAAGAGGAGGTGAGGAAGAGAGGGAAGGGGGAGACAGTTGCTTTCGAAATCCGTTAAAATAAGCTGCTGAGGGGGAGCAGTTCGTCCAGCACCTTAGCCTCTCCTTTGGAGGGGTCTGGGTGCTTTCTCTGGAACATCCTGTCCCAGTTAGACTTGTTATGATGGCTGGTGAACCTTTCATTGCAAGGCTTTGTTAGCCCTACTGCTCGCCGGCCCTGGCAGATACATCCGCAGGAGGAGCACACAAATATTAAGTTATCCTCATCGTAACTAGCAATATAAATTCTGTGGTTGCGCTGATTGGCAGCTATCGCGCTGAAAGCGGCGTTGTATCCTGTACACGCTGTGGTCTGAGGCGGGTACTCTGCCCTGCATCTGGTGTAACAGACGCGGCAGGGCCACAGATTCTGCTTAATGTATTTCCAACTGTGGCTCGACAGGGCCTGCAGGGTTCCGGAGGTCAGCCTCGACAGGGCCTGCAGGGCAGGGTCCTCGAGAGGCCGCCGCTCTCCGCTCCAAGAGGCCTACCGCCTCGTGAGCGGCGGGCCGCTCCTCTCTGGCCCTCCGCCGGCTTCCGCTCTCCGCCTCGGCCGGCTCCCGCCCGCGCTCCCCCTCCTCCTCCTCCTCCTCCTCCTCCTCCTCCTCCTCCTCCTCCCTCGCCTCCTTCTCCTCCTCCTCCTCCTCCTCCTCCTCCTCCTCGTTCCTCCTCCTCCTCCTCCTCCTCCTCCTCCTCGCCTCTTCTCCTCCTCCTCCTCCTCCTCCTTCCTCCTCCCCTCTCCCGCCTCCGCCTCCTCTCCTCCTGCCTGCCGGCCCTCGCTGCTGGCCAGCCTCCCCCCCCGCAGTGCTCTATGCGACCTGACCCTTCCCGCCCAAGGCCCACTGGAGCCTCCGAGAGCCCCCCCCCCTTCCGAGCACCAGGGCCATCCGGAGCCCTGCACCCGTCGCCCGCCCTCTCCTCCCGCTCTTCCGGGTCGCGCTCGCTCATCCCGAGCCCCCCCGATGAGCCTGCTCCGAAGCAAAGTGACAGCCGAAGAGCCAACGAGACAGCCGATTGCAAGCAAAGCCATGCAGCCCACCGAGAGCCAGCAATACCATAACACCTCCCGCCACTCCTCCTTTCCCCTCTCCTGCCCCTCGCACTCATTCTGACTCCCTGGATCCGTTGCTAGAAAGGGTGGGATCTTCTAGGCTGGCATTGTCGCGCCGAAAAACTACCTAACCCCCCTCGCCTATGCTGGGCTGAACGACTCTGCGGTTCCTGGCCTCGCGGTGTTTTTTTGCCAATCTTGTCCCTGCTGTTGTTCCTTCTCCGGTTCAGCCACAGCTTCGAGGTGGATGCAGCCGTGGCGACAAGCCCCCTCCCCGTTGAGACCCAAGAGGAAGAGGAGGTGGAGAGGAGGAGGCGGAGGCGGAGGAGAAGAGGGGGAGGGGGAGGGGGAACCCAATATGAGACATAACACATTCAAGATCCCGTCCCCCTCTTCCTCCTCCTCCTCCTCCTCGTCCTCCTCCTCCTCCTCCTCCTCCTCTTTCAAGAGGTCTCCAGAGGCCCCATGAGGTCCACGAGGCTTCTGGCAGCCTCTCAGGTTTAACGGGGGCCAGAGACGCCCAGAAGTGTTCCTCGTTCTCCTGTCTCGTCCTCTCTCTCTCTCTCTCTCTCCTTTGCTCCGCCTCTGCTCCTTCATCTGGTTCCTCGCTTCTCCTCCTCCTCCTCCCTCCTCCTCCTCCTCCTCCTCCTCCCCTCCTCCTCCTCCTCCTCCTCCTCCTCCTCGCTCCTCCTCGCTCCTCCTCCTCCACCTCCTCCTCCTCCCCTCCTCCTCCTCCTCCTCCTCCTCCTCGCTTCTCGCTCCTCCTCGTCCTCCTCCTCCTCCTCGCTCCTCCTCCTCCACCTCCTCCTCCTCCTCCTCCTCCTCCTCCTGCTCCTCCTGCCCCGCCTGCCCCTCGTCCTCTCATCATCCACCCTCCTCTGCCCTCCTCCTCGCTTCTCCTCCCCCTTCCTCCCCCCCTCCCCGTCTCTCCTCTCTCCCTCCCTGCTGCTCCTCTCCTCCTCCTCCTCCGCCTCCTCCTCCTCCTCCTCCTCCTCCTCCTCCTCCTCCTCCTCCTCCCCGCGTCTCCGCACCCCTCCCTCCCCATTCCACGGTGTGGCCCGCCGCCCAGGCTGCAGGTGGGCCTCCAGTGATTGTGCCCCACCCAGTGGCGCGGAGGCCCAGCAGGCCAGGCGTCTCTGACCGTGTCCTCCCTCACAGGCATGCGCCGTCCAGCGCGAGGACAGGACGTAAAGGTGAAGCCATCGCAAGCGGACGTGAGTGAGACATTGCTCCGGCTGATCAGGGCAGGAGGAGAATGAAGAGGAGGAGGAGGAGGAGGAGGAGGAGGAGGAGGAGCAGGAGGAGCAGGAGGAACAAGAGAAGCAGCAACTATCATCGGAGAGCCCAGCTGATCCTGGGCGCCAGGCCTGAACGTAACTAGGCAGGCTTACATGTACATACGTGATTCAAGTTTCGCCCAATTTTGCCACTGCGGTACTCTGGGGCTCAACGCAGTGGAATGTCGAACGATACAGACGAACACACGACCATTCCGGACGAACCGTTCATTTTGCAAATGTTTCGAACCAAGTCCGAACTTGGTTCGAAGTTGCTTCACGAGGAAGTTCCGCACGAAACGCTCACTTGCCTATTGTTTCGAACCGAGTTCGAACCTGCTTCAAGAGGAAGTCCTAGTGCTCAGATGCTTATTGTTTCGAACCGAATTCGAACCTCGTTCGAACAAACTGATCGAAAAAGTCCCGCAGGAGATGCCCACTTTCATACTGCTTGGAACCAAGCTCGAACCTGGTTTGAACCTGACTACCGTGGAAGTCACGCACGAGACGTCCACTGTTCTATTGTTTGGAACCGGCTTCTATGGTTTGGATCCGACTTTCGAACCTGGTTCCAACTTTTTGGAGGAGGCTCCACGCGGTTCGCCGTTCTCGAACCGCCATCCCGTTTAGCCTCGCCTGGCGAAAGACCCAATCGTATGCAATTGTGGGCACTGCCGTTGTATGCGCCGCAATCGGTGGAGCTCCATTTGGGGCCACGAAGCGTGTGAAGGGTGCGCCAAAATGGGTGCGGTGGGCGCATGCGAGCGTTGGCATCTGGGCCTTGGGTGGAGCTCCCTATGGGGCCACAAAACGTGTGAGTGGTGTGCCAACGTTGGGGAGGAGAGGAGGAGAGGGAAGATGGGAGGAGAGAGGAGGACAGTGGGAGGAGCGAGGACGCGGGTCGCTGTCTCTTCAGAACGAGGACCCAGCACCACAGGATGCTTGGGAATACTTTGAGGTACAAGCCCGAGGTTGCCCACCCCCCGCTGGCGCAGCCCCACTCCCGTCACACTGTGCCAGGCTCCGAGCGCCTGACGGGGCACCTCCGATCCACGCTGCCCCAGCCTGTCTAAATTTGAGCGCTCCTTTTGTCACGGCACAGCACGCCCAATAGAAACGCCCACCGAGTCGGCGACTGGGATCTCCATGCCCCTGGTCGTTTCGAGGGCGGGGCTGTCCTGATTCAGCTAGTCCTGACTTAGCCCCTTTCGTCCCCCCAGGGTGCCACTCCGGGGAGGTTCAATTCAGCATCGACGCTGGTATATCCGTAGCCGAAAACCGGACTAATCCGGCATCAGTTCGTTTATTTCTTCTTGCTCAATCCCGTTTCATAGAGGCCAGTCCAGCAGAATTTTGGGTTTCAAATGTGCTAATCCGGCAAGGTAGCCCCTGGGCTTGATAGCCCGTAATCGTTCTGATCAATACCTCCCATGATCACAGGCGGTTTTTCGCCTCAAATCCTCAAGTTGCCCCCGAAAATTCCGGTCGCTCAGAAAAGAAGAGAAAGTCGGGGATACACCTTCAGGGGGCTATATTCGGACACACCCCTATCGAGGATGGACGCCCCCCATCGTATCTCCCAGAGTTGGGCCAACAATGCTCGGTCCAGTCGAGACGCGTCCCAGGAGCTCGGGCCCAAAATGCTGGGCCCAGGAGTTGCGTCCCAGGACGCAACTCCTGTATTTAGCAGTATGGCATCCCTAATCCCTGACTCTGGGGCGCTTCTCGACTCGCGCGCGCGCGCGAGATGCCATTCTCCCTACTTTACCACCAATTTTAATATATATATATATACACCCCATGTATTAATAATCCTATGTGTTAAACATGCCCAAGTAGCCCGAAAAAGAAACAGTGGCATGAACACTAACTCTTGGATCTCCGCGCGGATCTCTTAGATCGTCCCTTGGGCCCCCACGCAGCAGCGCCTCCAGCTCCGCCAGGGAAGGGGGGGGAGGAAGAGGAGGAGGAGGAGGAGGAGGAGGAGGAGGAGGAGGAGGAGGAGGAGGAGGAGGAGGAGGAGGAGGAGGAGGAGGAGGAGGAGGAGGAGGAGGAGGAGGAAGAGGAGGAGGAGGAGGAGGAGGAGGAGGAGGTGGGGGGGGGGTCCAGCGCCGATCCCAGAAATCCGCGCGGAGCTCCGACAGTTTCTGCTTATGCAGATATTTCTTCTCCTACAACCCCCCCCCGCCCCGCCCCTTCCCTCGCCGTTGAAGGCGAAGACCTCCGGCGGCGAGGACTGGCAGCGATGGCGCGCGCGCCGCGAGGAGAGCTCCCGCCAGCTGTCCCCGGGGGGTTGGCGGGGGGTGCAGTTGAGGCGCGGGAGTGTGCAGAGGACAGCTAACTCTGGAGCCCGCTGAGAGTCTGAGATTGCCCGACAGTGGTTCCGGCGAGCAGGAAGAGGCGAGGTTCGATCGAGGGTCTTAGTTCGAGGGTTTTTCTTTTTGCTTTGTCGGTCTCCTGGGGCAGTTCTCGGGATCAACAATGGATCCCGGGTGCAAAACTGCCCCAGGTGGATCCCGGGAAGGGTCGGGGGACCGATCTTGCGCAGATATTTGGCCCCCCTCCCCCCTTTCTGACCGACCCTCTCGCGGCCCATCCAGTTCAAACACTCCCGGCCGCCTCCAAGGACGACTCTGGGCCCAGGAGGGGCTTTTGGGTTTTCTTGCGGATTCATATGGTTTGGGGTCCTATGGTCAGAGCTTGCCTCTGTAGGGGTCCTAGCGTGCCCGGGCGTCCAAGTGCCCAGGTGCCCGGGTGCCCGGGTGCCTTAGAGCCCTATAGCCCTGTAGCGTAGCCCTTTAGCCTTTAGCCCTTTCCGTAGCCATTTTGGCTCAAGTTCGAAACCTTGCCGCGAGGCTTCGAGCTTGTCCGCAGCCGTGCGGCAGGCTCGGACGGTTCTGGCGTGTGTGCAGCCCACCGAGCCGCACGGGCGCGCCATGGGATATCTCGTCTGTCTCGTCTGTCGCGATGCTGGCAAGACTTCGTGGATCCCCGACACCAACCCCCGCCAGAAGTGTAAGTTCTGCAGTACTCCTTTTCCTGGCCGCTCCAAAGGACAGGTCCCAGGAAAGCATGGTCGCAATGGCGACAAGGACGGCAAAGGCAGGAGCAAAGGCAGTCGCAGTGAACATGTCTTGTCTCCTCCCCGTGCTCGTTTCCACGATCGTCATGTTGATGACGGTACTGCCACTCCCCCAGTTCGGTCTTTGGATGAACGTCTTCAGGCTCCCTTGGATGAGGAAGTGCAGGATAGATTCGGGTATGACTCTGGCGACGATGGTCTTGGCAGCGATCGTGGTTTTTGGGCTGATTACGTCGACGACGACGTTGATGGCGGCTGTGTCGACACCAATGGCAATGAGCACTCGGTTACGCAGATTGATCAGATTATCAAGGCCATTTTGGGCCAGCTGGATTCCCTTCGCCTGCTTCCGCCCGCCAGGTATGTTCGTGATCAGGTCTCGGGTCTCCAGGATGAGGTGCAGCATCTCCGTGCACAGAAGTCCGACTTGCTTACCGTTCCCCAGACGCGTGCGTTCTATAAGCAGCGACATCACTGGGCCAGTAAGAAGTTTGACAAGATCTCTAGCCAGATCCGCGAGCTCGATCGTAAGATCCTGGACCTTCAGAGCGAAAGGGACGCCCTCTGCTCTCGTCAGGAGCGGGTCGCCCAGGATATGGCTATGTGGCAGTCTAAGTTGCAGGATCTCCCGTCGAGCGAGCCAGTCCCTGAGGGCTTCACGCCTCCAGATCTGTCAGCCGTGGCGGACGTTTTCGCAGCTTCCCAGGCAGTGCAGAGAGACAAGAAGCTTGCTCAGGCGTTGCGGGACCTCCAGGGTATCGTTATGTCTGGCTATGCTCCTGTTGGCGTTGCCAATGAACCTCGGTCCCAGTCTGAGGAGCCCAGGATGTCTGTCGACCAGCAAGGTTCCCCAACACGTGTTGCCAGGGCTCCTCCCCGTTCCTCTTCCTCGCTGCCGCCTGCGCCGAAACGTCCTGCTCATGCCCCTGATGCTGCAGTTGATCAGTCGGGACAGTCAGGAAGGTTTTCGCCGTCGGCTGCCGCCACCTCTGGCCCCGCCGACACCCCAGCAGTGGTGGGGGGCTCCAATCCCAAGGGCCCGTCTGACCTTTAACGCATCGGAGACCCCGCCCGACAAGTCAGCCTTCGGACAGAAGCCGCGTCGGGACTGGGTCATCGTGACTGTGAACGTTACCTCCTGGCCTAATGCCGATATTTTCCTGGAGGCTTATTCTGATCGGTTTGATGATGTTGGTTTTCAAGAACTCTGTCGTACAGAAGAGGCTATCGAGTTCGCAGTCAACCGTGCTCACAAGCATGGGTTCCATGCGCACCTCCACCCCTCAGTTAGTACTCAGAAAGGCGGATTGAGTTCAGGAGTGGGCCTTGTCTCGCAGTATGCCAGGTCTTTTCTCTGAACTTGTATTGGGTCCGATTGTTGTCATGCCCCCTCCAGAGAGATTTATCCTGAAGCTATGGCATGGGGTCGTGGATTCAGGTATCCCTTGGGCCAATGTCTATTTGCATACGGGGGAAGGCGCCGAGGATCGCAATGCCCAGCTACTGATGCAGGTGGCAGCAGTCATGAAGACCATATCCACCCCCTTTGTCATATCAGGGGACTGGAACATGTCCCCCAAGGACTTGCAGAATACGGATTTCTTAGCGCTCATAGGTGGGGTCATTGTTGCGCCAGATCGCCATGCCTATGAGTCTGCGGGTGCCCAGTCGTTGATTGACTACTTTGTGGTTCACCCCTTGCTCTCGGCAGCAGTTAAGTGTGAGGTCTGGGGGACCCCCTGATCCCCAAGCACCAGCCTGTCGCTCTTACCCTTCGTGGACATCTCCGCTCTGATTTGGTATCGGTTTTTCGGCGCCCGCCACGTATCCCTGTTATCCGTCCAGTGGGGTGTTCAAACTGCCCGCCTTCCTGGGATGCTTTTCCTGATCCTGACGCAGTCAACTCTGTGGAAGATTTGGAACGCCTTACCTCTTCTTGGCTGAAGACGTCTGCCCAGGAGTTGCTCGCCCTTTTCCAGCTACCAGATCCGCAGGGTTACACCAAGTGGGGTGAGCCTCCCTCGACCATCCAGATTTCGGTTTCCAGACTGTTTCCTGGAGGTGTGCTTTCGTCATGCGAAGGAAGGCTCTGGAGGTATCTCTCTAACCGTCTTGGTACTCTTCTATATCTTGCTGTCAAGCAGCTGTGGCCCGCATTTCCGAGATCCTGCCAAGCCCTGCGCCGACGTCGTCCCTCGCAGCGTGATGGTGGTCTTCCCCCCGATTGGTCGTGGTGGAGGTATTATGCCAACAGGCTTGATACCCTAGATCTTGTTTCCATAGATTGGCTGCGGGGCGTCTTGGCTGAGTCCGCATCTGCTCTGGAACGTGCAGCATCGGCGCAGAGGTACCAATCCTGGACATCATGGGCCATTCGATCTGTCCAGGAAGGGGGTTCTGCTGCGCACCGATTCGCCAAGGGATCTATGGATTGGGCTTCCTTTGACAAGACCACCCCGAACCCAGATGCCCCAGTCGGTACGCCGCAGCATCATCTTAAGGCGCGACAAGTAGCTTGGCATGCTATCTGGGAGCCCATGCGGGAGCACCCTGACGATCCTTGCCGAGCCCTGGTTTTCCCGCCGTTGCCGCCCGACTGCCTTGCATCCTTGCCTCACCCGTCCCTGGACAAGTACAGACAGGTGTGTCGCAGGTACAAAGCTCGTACGTCGGTGGGATTGGACTCTATGCATCCACGCCACCATGCGCTGCTCTCCGACTCGTCTCTCCTTGCCCTGTTTGGTATCTGGCGCGCTGTTCTGCGATTGGGTAGATGTCCTTCCATTCTCGCTGTTTTCATCATGAATTTGGTCCCGAAGGCTGATGGTGGCGAGCGTGCGGTTGCCCTGTTCACGACGTGTGTGCGCACGTTCTCTCGGTTCTTCAGGCACGCGCATGGTGCTATGTGGGCGCGATTGCATCCTCGTCCGTACGTGTATGGTGTGCGCGGTCATTACTGCCAAGCATGTGTGTGGCGCATGGGCGTGCTCACGGGGTTAGCATCTGCCAAGGGTTTGTCTGTGTTTGCACTCTTGCTCGACATCCAGAAGGCATTTGAACAGGTTCGCCACAAACTTCCCATAAGACGTGCTAGTGAGTTTGGGTTTCATCCAGCACTCTTGAGGGTTTTCCTGTCTCTGCATCGTTCCCCACGTGTTGTCGCGTTGCGGCGAATTGTTGGGGGGTGGGTCAGAGCTAGCAAGACTATTGTAGCAGGTTGCTCTTTTGCCGACCTGTTTATGCGTATTTTATTGATGCCCGAGTTGGATTCGTTTCGTCAGTCGTATCCAAATATGCACCTTGGCCTCGTCGCCGACGACGTGCAGGTCCTGGGGATAGGCTCGGAGAGGGAGTTGCTCAAAATCGGTCCCGATGCGTCGCACCTTTTGATGAGCAAGCTTACTTTCTCGGCATGTTTACCGCTCTCCGAGAAGAAATTCGTGCTCTTGGCTACTGACCCCCAGTTGGCTCAGAGCATTGCAGCTGAAACTCCACGTCTCGCTGGTGCAGTCAAGTTCTCGTGTCGAAACCTCGGGATTGACTATCAGTTACGTCAGGGGCGTCGTTCTCGTCCTGTTCTTACTGGCCGATTGAAAAAGGCCAGGTTTAAGGCCCGACGCCTATTGAAGATAAAGCAGGCTGGTCCAAAGGTTGCAGGTATTGTAAACACTAACTTGCGGCCCACTGTCATGTACGGCATTGACGTCGTCGGTCTATCTACTCACCAGATTCGTCAGGTCCGTGCTATATACCACGCTGGTCTCGGCACAGGTAAGCGTAGGTCTGTCACGATGGATTTGGCGTTGCATGGTGTTACCGATCCTGCTATCGATGCACATGCCGAGGTTATTCGTCTCTGGACTGTCTCTGGATGGGATTCTCTTCTTCCTGTCGGAATGATAGACCTAGTTTTCCAGTTTGCCTACGCCAAGGTGACGCCAGATACCCCGTGGACTGAATTGCAGGGCCCAGGACAGATTTTGGTTGCCACTATGCGTAGAATTGGGTGGTCTGCGGCTTCGCCCCCAATATGGCGAACTTCTCTTGGAACCAACGTTGATATTTCGTCGGCTTCCCCTCGTGAAGTGGTGGCACTAGTGATTCGCGACGCGTCTGTCTGGTCCTGGAAACAGGCCTCTGAGCGTCACCCATCCTTCGGTCGCCTGCCTGGACCCCCTTTTCTTCCCCCTCTTCTTTCCCTTTTGTCTAAGAAGACTGAAGGATGGGGTGTCCTCCAGCAACGTGCTTTGAGGACTTTTATATCTGGGGGCATATACTCTAAACCTGTGTGCCCGATTTGCCAGGTCGCCCCCTCTGACCCCGTGTTTCACACCCTGCATGAGTGTGATGGGCTTGTGGAGTGTCGTCGTTGGTTCGGCCCGACTCCCGCCCTCACCCGTTGCATAGAGCAGTGCCGCGAGAACCCTGTCTGGACCACTGCCTTGGTTCCCGACTTGCGCTATTGCGCCCTGCTTGCACCACCTTTTCCAGACCCTGTCTGGGAAGGAGCCACAGACGGCCCCTTCTTCTCGTCGCCTGCGTATGGAGACGGCTCGGGAAAGCATGGTCCCTCGCCGCTCACTCTCCGTTGTGGATGGGGTGTATGCTCATTTGCCCCGCGTAGTCGCAATGTTTTCGGTGAGGCCATCGCCAATGATCGGCTTCGGCTTAATGCTGGTGCATATGGCGTATATCCCTTTCTCACCCAGGATGTCTCAGGGGCTGAGCTTTATGCGTTTTTATTTTACCTAACCCGTGCTGCCCCCTCTGACTGCTATGAGTTTGTCACTGATGCCCAGTACGTCGTGGACGGTTGGGCATTGGGGTATGAAGCTACCACGCACGGATGGGCCACTCACGCACCCTTGTGGGTCCGTGTCCACCGTGCGGCCTCAGATATCGGGTATCACCTAATTAAGATCACCAAGGTTCGTGGCCATTCTACCTCTGCGGGTAATAAGCAGGCGGACAGACTTGCTAACCTAGGTGCTGACCTACACACGCTGGACACGGTCCTGCACGACCGTGTCAAGCGCTCTGGTTTGTTTGTGCGCAATCTCGGTGTGTATATCGGGCATTGTATAGCATGGATTTTCAAGAACGTGCCCAACAAGGTTTGGGTGGCGGATTCCGACGAGTCCCCCGCCCCCGCGGCCCCATCCCTAGTCCTCTCTGGTGCCTCCTCTGGGGCCTTGCATGAGCACTTCTGGGACCCCTCGGCGGGTCGGTTTCGATGCTTGAAATGTTGGGCTAGTTCAGTTTCCAAGAGCTATTTATTGCGTTCACAGTGCTTTTCTCCCACTGGCGGTGGGCACGTGCTCAGGCGGCTAAATAAGATCATAGTTTGTCGACGATGCGGCCGCTACTCGTGCAAGAAAGCAGTTGGTTTAACTAAATCATGCACTGGGCCCCCTCGGGCCTCTGGCGCCATCTCACGGCTTCGGCGCATGTGTGATGGTCGTGGCCCCCGCGCTGATCAACCAGTCGGTGAGGTCACTGCGGTTGACAATGTCAACGTTATACATGCCTTTCCTGCCCCTCACGATGTCTTTAATTTTCAGGCATTGTTTGATCCTGCATGGCTTTTAGAGGCCCCGTAGATTTCTCGGGTATACTTCGGAGGTGGGGTGGATGTAACGGTTCTGGCGTGCGTGCTGCCCACCGAGCCGCACGGGCGCGCCTAGGGATATCTGGTCTGTCTCGTCTGTCTGATGCCGGCAGGACTACTCGGATCCCCGACGCCAGCCGCCAGAAGTGTTGTTCTGCAGTACTCCTTTTCCTGGCCGCTACAGAGGACAGCTTCCAGGAAGTAGGGTAGGCTGGGGATAAGTGGGTACAGAGGCGCTGAGAAGCAGGCACCCGTTCCGCCTGCGCCCACTTATCCCGTCTGTGCTTTTGTCATTCCTCCCCTGGCCAGGCTCGCAAAGAGAAGACTCTTGCCTGCCCGCCGCGCGGGGATAGCTGTGCACGCCTCTCTGCATGTGCTTTCTCTCTACAGTCGGACAGTCGGACAGTCGAAATGTCTTACTGTTACGCGCTAGGGACTAGTAGGCTGAGGGTGAGTGGGTACAGAGGCGCTGACAAGCAGGCGCCCGTTCCGCCTGCGCCCACTCACCCTCCTTCTGCGCTGCTTTTGTCCTCCCCCCTGCCCAGGCTCGCAAAGAGAAGCAAATAAATGTTTCTTCGCTTCCTGCTGCGGGGGGCGGCATGCTTTCTGCCTCTCTAGCCTTGCTCTCTGTAGTGTCCTGTGCCGATTCGTCAGGGTTCTAGGCTAGGATAAGGATGAGTGGGTACAGAGGCGCTGAGAAGCAGGCACCCGCGCCGCCTGCGCCCACTCATCCTTTTTTTGTGCTCTTTTTGTCCCTCCCCAGCCCAGGCTCGCGAAGAGAGGAACGGCTCCTCCCGCCGCCGCGCTGACTCTGCCTTGGTTTTAACTCTGCTGCTGGCCAGAGGTTGAGGCTGGAAGCCCAGGAGCCAGGACGCGGGCTTCAAAGTGTCTCACCAGTCTTGCCAGCATCGCTTGTCTGTTCGGGCCCTCGATTTTCTCGTTGTCCCTGTTTGCTCGGTTCGGTCCTTCGCTCGGCTCTGTCGGGTCCTGGTCCGTCCTTCGTTTCTTTCGGCCCCTCTTCGGGCCCCTCGCTCGTCGTTTCGGCGCCACGGGCAGGAGTGTTCGGCAGACGATCACCCGCGCGCAAATAAAAAAAAAGCCCTTTAGCCCTATAGTTCTATAGTTGTGTGTGTGTGCAAAGCCAGAGCCTTAAATTAGTCATCAATCTCGCGCTCTTCTTGGTATGGTCAACCGAAGAAGTTGTTTTTCTCCGGTGTTGTTCCTCGGTGCGCCACTCGCGCTCCGCTCCCGCTCTTATCCTTCGCCCCCCTCTTCTATCCTTAGCCACTCCCTGCTCCCATGATCCGTCATTCGGTTGGCCCCCCTGAGGTGGCACTCGAGACTTTCGCATCAGACCTTCCCCCCTCATGTTTGGCCTCCCTCCCCTGTGTGATTGTCCAGACCGTTGCGGCGGAAGCTTCGTGCCAATGCGAGTGCGTGGCGGCATCCTGGTTTCACGCGGGCTCTGCGGGAGCGAGTGCGTGGCGGCATCAGGGTCCTGCAGCAAAGAATCCTTCCTTCCCCGTTTCACCGATACGGCCTTGCATAATTGTCGTATCGTCTCCAGGTTTGCTCCCGCAGGGCGGGGCAGCAAAACGCTGTGACATTCCTGCTCCGCACGCTGGCTCCATTTGTGCAGTTCCCATTATTCCTTCCCCTTCTCTTCCTCCTCGCCCATGAGAAGCACAACAAATCAGAGGCAGCAGCGTGGAGCGGGGAGCCCCCGCTGCAATGTCCCGGCGGAAGACCGCGTTTTCCTCCTTCTTCTCCGCCTCCTCCTCCTCTTCATCGGAGGAAAGAAGCGGGTTCCCAGGGAAAGGCCCGAGACCCGCGTGGGCCCCGTGTCGACGAAGGGACCGTCAGCAAAACTCAGGAGGAGGGAAAAAACACACAGACACAATGAAACATGGGAATACATGGGAAGTGGGGGGGAAAACAGAAACACAGAAGATATGGGAAAATATGGGGAATCCTGTAATTTGTGTATTTGTTTGTGTGTCCCAGGGCCCCTGCAAAGGGGTCGTCAACAAAACGGCTTTGGCTGAAAAGCTGGTCCCAGAGAAGGGCTCGGGACCCGCGTGGGCCCCGTGTCGAAAAGGCGGACTGCTGCGTGCGACACTGCGAGCGAGGCCGGTCTGTGAATGCGTGCTGACTTTTCGGGAGGGAGCTCTTTGTGCAGCCAGTGCCCGCGTCGGAGGTGGGCTGTTGCAGGAACGGGAATCTAGTGCCACATTGTTTACCAGCCACACCTTTGGCTCGGTCTTGGACCAAGACGGGCTGAAGACGAAGTCTAACTGCAAGGTTTGCCGATTCGAGCAGGGCTTGTTGTCGGTGTCGACGTGGGCGTTATCCGTTCGGGACAAGCGTCGCCTTCCTGCCCAAAGGCTGCCGCCGTTGGTTTTGGAAAATGCTCGCTGTTGGGCATTGATTGTCCCCACGTGCTCCATCGCCACTGGGGCGTGCCAATGCCGCCCCGTGGGTTCCAGCAATCGGGGCAGACGGCTCTTCCTCATCCTTGCCCTCCTCATCCTCCTCCGTTCCTCCTCCTTGCCCCCCTTCTCCTCCTCTTCCTGCGCTCCTCCTCCCTCATTCTGCTTCCCCTGCTCCTCGTGCTCCTTCTCTTCCTTCTTCCCCCCCTCCCACCCTTCCTCCCTCCCTTCTCCTTCCCTCCCCTCGTCCGCCTGCCCGGTTCCCGTGCCCCGCCTGCCGGGGTCCTTGAGGAAGGGGCCACCCTGCGGGATCCTCCCGTCGTCTTCGCCGCGGGGCGGGGGAGCACGAGGTTCGGAGGCAGCTCCTGGGAGGTCGCGTGAAGTCATCACCGGAGATGCCTCCGAAAAGACGTGTCGGGGCCCAAGAGACGGGGGTCTATGCAAACGGGGGTCAGCCAAGGCACCGGATCCTGCAGGAGCCTGCGAAGACCCCCTCTGGCTGACCCGGGTTAGCGAGCCGCTCGTGGCCGCGAGGCGGCTGCGCAGATTGGCTGACCCGGGTTTGCGAAGCCCTGCATTGCAGTTGTTTGTTGTTTCTTGCATTGCAGTGTTTTGGTTTCCGGCTGACCCGGGTCTGATTGACCTGGGTTGGCAGACCCCCAAAGGGGGGGAGTAAGTGGGGGCGGAGGAGGGGGAGGGGGGGGAGGAGGAGGAGGAGGAGGAGGAGGAGGAGGAGGAGGAGGAGGGGGGAGGAGGAGGGGGAGGAGGGAGGGGGAGGAGGTGGAGGAGGAGGGAGGAGGAGGAGGAGGAGGAGGAGGAGGAGGAGGAGGAGGAGGAGGAGGAGGAGGAGGAGGAGGAGGAGGCCGCCCCTGCGAGGATCGTCGGACCCGCTTGGCGGACAGGCGTCGCGAGCGCCTCGGGAAGTTCGGCAGCAAGGGCCACGCCAGTTTCTGCACTGCGCTCTGCAGCAGCGACTGCAGCCTCTGCCTGCCCGCTGCGTGAGCGGCTGCCGCAACCATTCGACCACGAGCCGCCTCGCTGCGTGGACTCCCGCGGTTGGCAGGGCGATCGTGCACGTGCGTGTACATATGGTATCAAGGTAGTCAGCATGCGTCCAGATGCATGTTTGATAGCTTTACGATTTGTGCACATGTGCTCATAAGTCGCTATACCGAGTACACTAGAGACAAGTCCCGATCAGTGGATCGCCTGAAAGTTTGGCAGGCACCCCCTGCCCGGCCGCAGTCTCCCTGGAGGGCCCGAAGGGCGCAACAGCAACGATTTCCGCCTTTTCGCCTCCTCGGGCATCCGTCGGCTCAAACCGGCCAGTGAGACATCCAAGAGTAGAGAGCCCGTCCTCGGCCCAAGACGGCCGCGTACCGAAGGGGCCCCCGGGAACCCGAGAGGGGGGCTTCCGGGAGGGCCGGTCGTCTGCCCAAGGCAGCCGCGTCCTAGGGCTTGCACTTTTCGGGCGTCCGTCGTTTCAAAAGGGCCCAGGAGGCCTCCAAGATAGACGACCTGAGAGACCCCGTAGACGGCCCAAGATGGCCTCGAGATTGATGGCCCCGCGACGGCCTCGAGATGGCCCCGCGACGGACCGAAGATGGCCCCAAGACATCCCACGAGAGCCCTAAGACGGCCCACGAGGACCCCAATGGGGACCCCAAGGCGGTCCCACGAGAGCCGAGGACAACCTTGGGACGGCCCGGATGAGTTCCGAGAAGCGAGGGCGAGAGGTGTCACATGTGACGGCGCTCGTCTCATTCATCATCGTCATCATCATCGTCACAATAATCATCGTCATCATCGTCATCATCATCAACATCATCATCATCACCATCATCATCAGCATCATCATCATCATCGTCGTCATCAACTGCATCATCATCATCATCATCATCAACTCCATCCTCAGCATCGTCATCATCGTCATCATCGTCGTGCCCATCATCATCATCATCATCATCAGCATCATCATCATCATCATCATCATCATCATCATCATGCGGGGGGAGTGTGCACGTCGGCAGCGGCCCCCCTGGGAGAGCGGGATCATCATCATCATCATCATCATCATCATCATCATCATCATCATCATCATTGTCATCATCATCATCGTCGTCATCATCACCATCATCATCAGCATCACCATCTTAATCATCATCAGCATCGGCAGGAGCATCATCATCATCAGCAGCTGCTGCGGCAGCAGCATCCTCATCGTCAACATGCGCATTCCCATCGTCTTGCTCATCATCGTCATCGTCGTCATTGTCGTCTGCGTTGTCGTGTCGCTCACCATTCGAGCAATCGTCATCCAGATGGCTGTGCTGGCGCGATGGCGATACTTGCCGCAAGGCCTTCTGGATATTCGTTGAGCAGGCTCGTACAAGCACGAAAAGAAGCACGCGAAGACGCAGGAATTGGCGTTTGCATGCAGCAGCGCGTGCGTTCGTATGCAATAGAAGCACCGCGCCCATACACAAACAAACTCACCGTGTCCAGACAGTACAAGACATAAGCGATAGTTAGGAAGGGGCCACGGGGACGTGACGCTTCGCGAATGAACCGGAACATATCTTTAATCATGCGTTCCACTTTGTGGGTGTGCAGGACTTGCAGAATATTCTATCTGCCCCTGAAATCTAGGGTGCCCACTTGGTTCTTCGTAGAAGCACCCTGGTCGTTCTCTTCACATGCTTTGGCTTCCGGCACTTGGCGTACGAGATATCCCTGACACTGGTCGAGCACCGGCGCGGAACAGGCCCCTGGGCCCCGCCAAAATGAAGTGAGGGCTTGTAACATGATTATAATGCAAAGGTGAAGGGAGGCCTTGACGCAATGAGAAGGAACTGAGGACGTGGCAGACGGCAATTGTCAAACATCTCGACCAGCTGATCTGAAGACGATGAAGAAGCGGAGGTCGCAACACAAAACAGGGGACGTTTATGTCGCGTGTCTTGTTTATGGTTGGAACCTAGCAGCGTTAAAACATGTTTCACACTCGCCGAGTAAAATAACTTTAAGAAAACGCCGAGGGCAGACATAAGAATAACCAAGGTGGTCTAGTGAGTTCTTTATTTCCTCTTCCAACCCCCTTCTTCCAGTTCGATGAGGGGCGCATCTCTGCTCCTCATGAGTAAACAAAACGCCCCCGACCTGACAGGGGGCAACGCCCAAACATTGACGCCCAACCTGCTATCCCTTGCGAAAATAATGCACGAGATGCGCTTTGCCGAAACGTCATGGACCATGCGCGGCTCTACGCAGTCAGTTCTCCTCCTCCTCTTCCTCCATGTTCTGCTCTATGCGTCGTCATCGTCATCGTTCTCATTCCCGTACTCCTTGCCTTCGTGCTTTTCCTCCTCGTTGTGTTCGTCCTCTTCTTCCTCTACCTTGTACATTTCCTTCCCCTGTTCGTCCTCGTCCTCGCCCTAGTCGTTGTCCTCCTCGTCCTCCTCGTCTCTTCTTCCTCCTCAGGCTCCTTCCTATTTCTCCCCTCCCTCGTCCTCCTCCCTCATCGTTCTCCTACACCTCCTCCCATCCCTCCTCGTCGTCATCTGCCTCCATTTCCACCTCCTCGTTCTGTTCTCTTCTTGCTGTTTTTGTTTTCGCTTCGCCCCCGCAACCTCCTCCTGCTCCTCCTCCTCTTCTCGTTTCTCCCCATATCCATTGCTACCACCCGTTTTCCACTTTACGTTTACTGACGTCCCTCTTCCAGGTCCCTCGCATGGGCATCGTTTCTGAATGGACTGGTGGGGCGACGCGAAGCGTCCAGAATTATGTTGCCGCGCACCAGCGTGATGCTGACGTGATGATCCCTTGCGCCATCATGCGGACGCCTGCTTAATGCGCGCGCGTGTAGTTGATTTTGTCCCGGCCAACGGCGTCTTATGCCACCGTGCATCAGAAGAGCAGCGAGGCAGTCAAGCGTTCTATTTTAGCCAGGCTCTGCAGCGCCAGCCGAGGACAAACTCAATGCTGCCATGTCCGCGTAGGCGGCCAAAGGATGTCGTTTTTTGTTTATATATACATAAAAAAAAGAGCTGATGGAACTGAGCAGGCGATGGATGCGGGGGGCCTCATCAATGATGGACCGTATGCTTGCGTCGAGGCCGACCGAGCGCAAGTTGTTCAGATGTCTCACTCTGCTCACGGCCACATATGCTGCCAACCATTTCGTGCATGTGCGGATCTTTCGTGGAAGGGCTTAATGCAAATTAAGCCGTGGGCAGCTTTGGCGCCTTGCAGGACATTGAGCGTGCTGCCTTTGATGGATACTACGGGTAATTGTGCCCTGGGCGCATTGACCTCTCATTTCGGTGACACAAAGATTAGATTTGGATGGACCTTGGCCGTTTGTTTGTGAGAAAGGTTCGGCTGCGATTGAGCCAGGGTTGAAGGTACAATCTGGACAAGCTTTGTCGGAGCCGCACGCACACGGTGAACTGAATGGATGGGGCTGCAAAAAGTTTTGTGGAGTCGGACAGTTTGACGTCAACACGCTGCTGTTGGTGTCGCAGCACCACGACGGATGACGCAGCAAACTCTTCAGCTTCGCTGTCATTGTCGCGGGGACAGAAAGCGTCTATGACTACATAGCTCCTATGGTTGAAAAATCCACACCGGCGATTGTACCAGCTGCAAGTAGAACGCCTTCCGGTAGTTCGACGGAATGCGCTAGTACAGTCCCCATGCCGGTGTGGAGGGTAAATCTTAGGAGGCGGCCCGTCGCGTTCATGAAAGGACGCCGTAGGATTCGTTAGCCGGCGTGCTGTCGTTCCTCTTCGTGGGCCCTTTTGCGCCAAGGGTTACCGACATGGTCCTCTGCCTGGACGAGGAGCAAGTCATATTTGTTGATGTGCGCCGGCAATGCGGGTCGAAACGCTATGATGAGGACAGTGAAACATTGCATCCGTAGCAGGATTCATGCCACGTCTTGGCGCCATGAAGTTCTGAAGCATCGTGAGCTTCCGTGTGTTCTAGGCTGGCCCATTCTGCGGCAGTCAAACGAATCCCGCCAGGCGTGCGCATCTTTCCGAGGAATGGCGCCAGTTTGCGGTCGTCGAAGCGCACTTCTGTTTTCAGTTTGTACACGTGGCGCATGGAAGTGAAGATCGCGACGCTCGCCTAGTGCTCGTTACTGGAACCGCCCAGCGGGGCCAACAATCTACATCGCATAGGGTGTTGGGGGGGGTGGCGACTCGTAGCCGCCGACAACGACCTCTGGAAGTGAACCCCGTTCCTGCTTAGGCATTGCTTAGCATTCTGGTCTCGCTTTGCGGGCGGGCGCTGGCCGGCGCGATGATCTGGGCATCGGCGCGAATCGCCGCCCCGCTGATTTTGGAGACCTCGTCTAGAGCTCGTCCACGATTTTTGGCGCCAGCGCCGCCGTGCATGTTCCCGATTTATTTTGTTATTTTCGATTGAGTGGAAAGCCGATTGCCCCCATGGCAGAAAAGGCCGTCAGTTTGTTTGCGTCATGGGTGGTCTTCCAGGGGCGCCCCCAAAGCCAGGCAGCCTCGTTGGTGCCCTCCTCCTGTGCCGCGCCGTCGGCGCTGTGGAGGGCCGAGAGCAACGGCGCGATGACCTTGTTGGATGTCAGAGTTTTGTCGCAACCGCCGCCGCCGACAAACAGTAATCGCGCCGACGTGCCCGTCGGAGGAACATATCATCGGCGTCCGGGGCGCAGGCTCCACCACTCCGCGGGCCCTGCGCAACGTGTCTTGCGTGGTCCTGGCCACGTCGTGACCGCAATCGTTTGACCTTCATTGAGCTGCGCGGCGCGGGAGAGCTCTCGCGCGACGCTGGTGGGGCTTTGCGACAAGTCGTCGACGTGGGGAGTGGCGACAGATGGCCTGGCCACAGGCTGGAACCTCTGGGCTGTCTCTGTCCCTCTCAGTCTGTCTCTCTGTTCGTGTCTTTTTTTTTTTTTTTTCTCTCTCTCTCTCTCTCTCTTTTTCTCCTCTCTCTCTCTCTCTCTCTCCCTCTGGCTCTCTGGAGGGGGGTTCGAGGCTGGCGGCGCCGGATTAGCGCGGGCGCAAGTTCGTCTCCCAGGATATATGTATATATATATATATATACACACATATACGTATATATATAT